TGAAGTAAATCCACAAAGGTTCTTGAACCTTTCTACCATATACAACACTGGAAAGTCATTAGGGAGTTAATCAAAAATTAAATTGTTGTTTATTTCATCCAGTATGATTAAAGGTATATTTGTTGGTATATCTGGTCAAATGTCATAATTAGCAAGGGGATTTAAAAAAAAAAACCAAAATTAATGGATGAACGCTAAATAATGATCTAAGTAATGGTATTGGAGAATTTGTTTCCTGCTATTTGAAAGAAATTATTGCTTCATTGCTAGCTTATATTTCTAAATTATCTTCTTATCTTCATCGGCTCTGCTGTGCTTTGTACCTGAATTTCTAAATATAGACTTCAGTTTACTGTATGCTTGAATATTTATTTTCAACTTTGCTTGTCTTTAAAATTGCTTGAGGAAAAATGGTTGTAATTAATTTCTGCTACAGAAAAGCCACCTGGTACATTTTATCTCATCAAGTTTGTTTTAAATTTTAAATTATAACTTTGTTCAGGAGAGGCTTTGCAATGATAGCAGAGAACTTGTACAAATGAAGTTAGTTGTAGACGTTCTTGTTGAAATGAACTTGACATTTGATGATACGTAAAGCTGTACACTTGAGTCTTTTTCTGTTTATTTCGTAGACTAGCAATCTGACCTGTTAAACAGTACTAGTTCACTTCAAGAAGCTAATAAGGTTGTTGTTGTATACACCTGGAGGCATCTGTTATTCAGCTTATCTTTTGAGTGGGTATTCAGCACAATGAGGATAAACTTGTGTGACCCACCTGAATGACTGATCTAATAATGTTGACGTTATGAATCCTGTACTTAGTGAAATGTCAGATGAAAATAACTGATGATTGAATAAATTTTTTTGTATTAAAGGAATGGGAAAAGAAGACATGAATCTTTAATAAAGCACTATGATCTGCAAAAGATGAACTGTTTCATAAAGATCTAAGGAAATAAAGGAAATTTTTAAACAGGGTAGTCTTAAAATTTTAGTTATACAGAAATTCAGAAAGTACTGTAGCCAGTTTTTAAATTTTTTGATACTAATGCACAAACATGACAGAACATCTCCAAATATGAATTTTGATGCCAACACAACAATGAAATAAATATATTTTAAACAACTCAAAGATTAAAAATGCAGATTTCTGGGTTTGACTGCAATTTGCTGAATCTCTGCAGGGTGGGATCCAAGACTGCAGTTTAACAACCTCTGCAGGTGATTCTTTTGCAGTCTAAAATTTGGGAACTGATGGAGGAATTATAAAGTAGGGAGCACACTTCCCTCTGTCCTAAGCAGCTGTGGAACCAACTTAGACCTCTTACTGGCCAGAAGTGACTCCAAGGGATGGGAACCAGTTGGAGGAAGGAAGAAAATTGATATTTACTGGGCATCTACTTACCTACCAGGTACTGTCCATAAATTCTCTGATTTAATCAGTATGAGGACCTTATGAGGAAAAGTATCTTTATTCCCTTTTTACAAATATGGAGCAAGCACAGTTCCAGTGTTAGTTGAATTTCCCGTAACACTTTTGAATTTGTGTAAGTCAGAACCTCTCCGTCTTATGTCCAGAAACAAAGGGGACAACTCAGTAGCTAGTCCTTCATTCCGCTGCTGGCATTAGTGCTGCCTGTATGCTTGATTTACCAGGCTGTCTGATTTGAGCTCACTGGAAGTCTTCTGGGTGATCATATTTACTTTGGCAGCTAATTACATTTTGCCACAGATATGAATTTATACATAAACTGTTTAAAGGAAATCATGTATTTTGTTATAGCCTTTTTTTCACAGAGGAAATGAAATTTGACTCTAGTGTTTTATGTAAGGATATCTCCCCCTGTTACGTTGATTTTGAAAATCTAAAATTTTATTTGTAGGAAGATCTGAGTAAGAATGCAAGAATAGAAAAAGGCAGAGGTACAAGGGCTAAAAGATAACGGACTAGGATTTGGTCTAAAGGACAGGTCAGTATACTGCATGTTTGACCATGAATGTGGATTTATTTTAGTTTAAACTTTTCAAGTTAGAGTAAGCTACAAATGCATTTCTGTAACCATAACTGCCCCATTTGCTGCTATACTGACAAAGCTCTTAATGGCCACAAAGCACACATGGCCACTCAACTCTGCTAAATTTTCTTATGTACCTTCGTGTTTGTTTACTTTCCTACTCCTCAAAGTGACTATTTCATACCTCCTCTTTCCATCTCTCCTGCTATACTCCCCTCCTCCCATTCTAAATCTCTCTGTAAAAAGAGGCAACCAGACAGCAAGACTCCTGCCTCTCACAATGCACACTCTATCAACCTGCCTGCATCTGTTCCCATGCTCTGTGGACCAGGACTAGTAGCTCTGCTCTTATCCGAAGTCAGTCCACCTTCACTTCCTCAAGGATATTAATCCTTTAAATTAATTGATTTTCCATCTCATCCATCTCTCTCTCCTTGGGTCATATCCATCGGCATATAAACATTTTCCACTATTTCTTTAAAGAAAAATTAATCTCATAATCTCCATTTTTCTGCTTCCTTTTGCAGCAAAACTTCTTGAAAAACTAGTCTCTGACTCTTCCTCTATTCTTTTTTTTTTTTTTAAATATATTTATTTAGGCTGCGTTGGGTTTTTGTTGATACGTGCGGTCTTCCTCTGGTTGCGGCGAGCGGGAGCTACTCTTCGTTGCAGTGTGCAGGTTTCATTGCAGTGGCTTCTCTGGTTGCAGAGCATGGGCTCTAGGCACGCAGGCTTCAGTAGTTGCGACATATCGGCTCAGTAGTTGTGGCTTGTAGGCTCTAGAGCGCAGGCTCAGTAGTTGTGGCGCATGGGCTTAGTTGCTCCGCAGCATGTGGGATCTTTCTGGACCAGGGCTCTGACCCATGTCTCCTGCATTGGCAGGCAGATTCTTAGCCACTGCACCACCAGGGAAGCCCTCATCTCCTATTCTTTCAACCCACTCTAGCTGCCTTCTTACCTTTCTCATTCCACCAGAATTACTTTTTTTTTTTAAATTTATTTATTTTTGGCTGAATTGGCTCTTCGTTGCTGTGCGTGGGCTTTCTCTAGTTGCGGTGAGTGGGGGCTACTCTTTTGTTGCAGTATGTGGGCTTCTCATTGCGGTGGCTTTTGTTGCAGAGCATGGGCTCTAGGCACGTGGGCTCCAGTAGTTGTGGCTCATGAGCTCGTGGCAGGCTCAGTAGTTGTGGCGCACGGGCTTAGTTGCTCCGCAGCATGTGGGATCTTCCTGGACCAGGGCTCAAACCTGTGTCCCCTGCATTGGCAGGCAGATTCTTAACCAGTGCACCACCAGGGAATCCCCCAGAATCACTCTTGATAGGGCCAACCAATGATTTCCCTTTAGCCAGATCCACTAGTCACTTCTCCTTATCTTAGTTGACCTCCCCATGGTATTCAATATTATTGAAAATGCCCTCTTTTCTTGGCAGACTTACTCTGGTCAATCCTTTCTAGGCTTGGTCAGCCACTACTCCAAATCTATCTTCTTTCTGGCAGTCTCACCCAGAGCTATAGCTTTAAATACCATAGATATGCAGATGATCCCTGATTATCTGTATCTCCAGTCCTGATTTCTCACTACTTCAGACTTCACCATTTTTCTATTTGAAATCTCTGCTCAGATTCTTGTAGGCATCTCAAAATTGACATCTAACATAGAACTACCAAGGTGACCATATAATGTGTAATGTATTCCAAACTGAGATACTTTTGAGGGTGAAAGCACTGCTGATAATTTCGTCAGCATAAACTAAAATCTGCCAAAGGGTTTCCCATCACATTTAGAATGAGATCCTGTTCCTTAGATGGACCTGTGATGCTCATCTTGTGTCACTCTTCCCATCACTTAACTCTGCCCCGACTATACTGGCTGCCATGCTTTCTCTTTAACAGACATTTCTGTGTGACTTTGAGTAAGTGACTTACCTTCTCTGTGCCTGAATGTCCTCATCTGTTAGAACAATAAACAGTGGTACTCAGCTCTTAGAGTTGTAAAGCACAATGTGCCCAGCACTTAGTAGGTGCTGCACAGAGATACCTTTCGCTTTCCTAACTAAGGAACTTAACAGATTGGGAGAGTGAGAGTTACCTGCATTTGCTGAATGAAGGAATAGAGTGAAGATGTGGCCTGCGTTTTTCATAATTTTTTCATCACTTAAGGCCACGCACACATAGCGCAGATGTTTGAGTGTCAAGAGTCAATTGTTTGTGTATTTGTTAGAGTTCAAACTCCTCAGCTGAAAGTGAGCCAGTCTTTATTTGCATAATATTTATCTTGGAACAAAGTTTAGAAATAGAAACTTGAAACCTAACTAAAATCAGTACCAACCATCACACACTTTACCTTTCATATTTTACAGTCAGACCTGGATTTTCAGAAAGTTTATACAAATTAGATCATTTCAAATTTAAGGAATTTTACAGAGATGTTTTCATAAAAATCCCTAAATTTGTAGTTGGTACTCTTTTAGCACGTCAGGTAGGAGTGACTTTTCTTATGCCAACTCATAAGCAATCCTTTTTCTGTTCACAAGGTTTGAACAGAAGAGAGATCTTAGTAAATCTGGGCTCTGGCATGTGGCAGCTGGATGGCTCTCTAAGCTTGTTTCCTCATCTATAAAAAGGGGAAAGTAATAAATGCACATAAAAGTGTTTCATGAGATAAAATAGTCAATTTTAAACCACACAAATAAGCTCTAATTATTCCTTTTGATGGGCAATACTTGGTTCTCAAAGATATTCCCTTATTCCAACCTGGAGATGAAATCAACTTTCTCCACAAAAATGTATTAGAAGTTTGCTAATGTTTCACTAAACACTAAGCTACAGAATTCACACCATAGTAGAGTGATGTTTCAGAGCTGGTGGTGAGAAAGAAGGCTGGGTCTGCATCCCAGGTGAAATGTGCTATATGAGTAAAAATGTATCCATACTTTGAATGGAGTGCACTTGTCAGTTTCTTAGAAATTACTCACTTATAAAATATCACACTGATAGACCATTTAATAATTTTTTAAAATAGCTCAAGGTCAAAATTACAAACTTTATTTAAAATAAATGCAATTTATATTTTTAAGTACAGCAATTGAGTGAGAGATTTTCTACTTAGAGGTCATTTAAACACAACTCAGAAGCTAAGTAGGTTCTTAAAATTACTGGTGCCCACAATATGCCTGAATCACTTAAGTTTTTGCTACTCGGTTTTACTCAGCACTGATAGAAAGAAGCATCAGTCAGCAAGTTACTCTTCAATATTTAATGGTGCCACAGGATTAAATAATGGCCTTCCTTTTTTGGCCTGAATCTTACCAAAGTTAGCCTCAAACTCTTTTTTTGTTCCATTTAGATATGCTAGATATCCATCCTTTATTCTATAGCCTAAGGAATTCAGTTTCCTTACCCTGTACTGTACTATTTGTGGCGTTAGTTCAAGAACCTTTGGCGTCTCTCTTATCTGAGCTATGGAAATTCCTTCTTTCAATAATCCCTGAATTCTCTCTTCCAAAACTGGAACGGAATAATATAAAAGGGCAGGACATTTCAAAACTAATTGCTTCAGGTCATGATCAGTACATTTAAAAGCATTTTTAGAGAAGGACATACTGTTCTGTATACTTCTTGGGCAAAGTTGAAACAGAAATCCTTTGAGTTTGGAGAGAAGTTGGAGAATTTCAAAGTTTGTAAAACCCTGCTCCTGGAGAAATTCTAGTGTTTCCTTTATAGATGCAGAAGAATTTAACAAAATAAATGGGTTTTGGCTTAATAATTTTAGTAGCCAAACTTTCATGTTGACCTCAGAGCCACCTAAATTTAGATAACTCTCTTGAAGAACATTTATCATTTGCTTATTCTTCTCAATAGGAGTGTGAAAAATATTAGGTGCAGTTGTCAAAAACCTACTAATGACCACATTTTTGAATCCCAACTCTTGAAAGAATTGAACATTCAGCTTCCGGTTTTCTTGGTCTTGAACAGTAAAGAAAGATTCTGGAAACTGTTCTATTAACTTAACTAACTCTTTCTCGTTCTTGCAAACTGACTGCCAGAGTTCTCTCTGGGTGTTAACAGCAGGTGGACTGCAGATAATTGCTTCTGGGCAGTGTTCCAAGATACTGGCTACAGCAGTCTCATTGGCACCTAGCTGTTGTAAAATATTTGCAATTTCTTCAACATACGTTTCATCCTCCAGAAGTACCCATCCTTTTAATCTTCGAATTTTCCTGATGTCAACTGACAATTTATAGAGCTTTTCTACTGTCTTTTTATTTTCTCTATTTGACTGATTATCAGTTGTATAGGTGAAGGATGCTAGAAAAGGTGTGTATTTTGGAGCTGATAGCATCTTTCTGAAAGAACAGGGCCTGCAGGGCTGGGATCTCATCAGCAACTTCCACAACATGCCTGCAATCCACTGGCTAATTCCCACCATCCTGAGACTCAGAAGGTACTCATCATACCTATATCAAAGAAAATACAGGTTTTTAACATAAAGGGTGTTGACTTTCAGAATACAAACACAAATTTGAGCTGTAAGTAGTAAGCATGGAAATAAAACGGACTTAAATTAGACAACTCTTGTGGAGTATATTAAATAGAGTCTCTTAAATAATTGATGAGGTAACTGTAATACACTGCTTCACACCTTAAACTTTATAAATACATTGTCTGAGTTTTGCAACAACCTCGTGCAGTAGTTAGTTCCATTTTACAGACCAGTAGCAAAACCACAAGGAGTTCAAAGATTCACAAACCTCAAATGTTATTTTGACACACATTCCCTTTCAACTCTGATACGTTCAGGTTTAGGACACATACGCTATTTACACACACCCACTTTTTTTTGTTTTAACATTTTACATTTTCAAGCTGATGTTTAGCTGAAGCAAATACTTTTTAAGGAGGGGTGTCAACTCTAATTTTATATTTTAGAGTAAATATTCTTTTGCTAAATAACTATTATCAAAATAAGTCAGTGAATTTGTTTCCTCTAAAATGAGTGAATAAATATATGCTTTTTTATGAGAATTATGTGAAAAACTTTTTTATAAATCTAGAATTAAAATACGTCTCAGCCAGGTAAAATGAGGAATGCCATGTGACTGCCCTAGTGAAGCCATAGAAAATCAGGTTAGCTGTGGAATGGTGACCATGGCTTATTTCACTTAGCATAATGTCTTCAAGCTTCATACATTGTGTACCATGTGTCAGGACAAATCGGTTAATTTTAATTGGTCAAAGGATCAGGGAAGTTTCCCTTTCCTTTAGGATTCCTACTGCTTTTATGCATCAGATGAGAAGATAAAAATTCATCCCTATTTGCTTCTATATTTTTGTTTGAAATTTATTTTTCAGTCCCTGTTTTTTTTTTTAACATCTTTATTACAGTATAATTGCTTTACAATGGTGTGTTAGTTTCTACTGTATAACAAAGTGAATCAGCTATACCTATACATACATCCCCATATCTCCTCCCTCTGGCATCTCCCTCCCACCCTCCCTATCCCACCCCTCTAGGTGGGCAAAAAGCACCAGACTGATCTCCCTGTGCTATGCAGCTGCTTCCTACTAGCTATCTATTTTACATTTGGTAGTGTATATAAGTCCATGCCACTCTCTCACTTCATCCCAGCTTACCCTTCCCACTCCCCGTTTCCTCAAGTCCATTTTCTATGTCTGTGTCTTCATTCCTGTCCTGCCCCTAGGTTCTTCAGAACCATTTTTTTTCTTTTTTTTTAGATTCCATGTATATGTGTTAGCATATGGTATTTGTTTTTCTCTTTCTGACTTACTTCACTGTGTATGACAGTCTCTGGGTCCATCCACCTCGCTACAAATAACTCAGTTTCATTTCTTTTTATGGCTGAGTAATATTCCATTGTATATATGTGCCACATCTTCTTTATCCATTCATCTGTCAGTGGACACTTAGGTTGCTTCCATGTCCTTGCTATTGTAAATAGCGCTGAAATGAACATTGTGGTACATGACTCTTTCTGAATTATGGTTTTCTCAGGGTATATGCCCAGTAGTGGGATTGCTGGGACGTATGGTACTTCTATTTTTAGTTTTTTAAGGAACCTCCATACTGTTCTCCATAGCGGCTGTATCAATTTACATTCCCACCAACAGTGCAAGAGGGTTCCCTTTTTTCCACACCCTCTCCAGCATTTATTGTTTGTAGATTTTTTGATGATGGCCATTCTGACTGGTGTGAGGTGATACCTCATTGTAGTTTTGATTTGCATTTCTCTCATGATTAGTGATGTTAAGCATCCTTTCATGTGTTTGAAGGCAATCTGTATATCTTCTTTGGAGAAATGTCTATTTAGGTCTTCTGCCCATTTTTGGATTGGGCTGTTTGTTTTTTTGATACTGAGCTACATGAGCTGCTTGTATATTTTGGAGATTAATCCTTTGCCAGCTGCTTCGTTTGCAAATATTTTCTCCCATTCTGAGGGCTGTCTTTTCGTCTTCTTTATGGTTTCCTTTGCTGTGCAAAAGCTTTTAAGTTTTATTAAGTCCCATTTTTTAATTTTTGTTTTTATTTCCGTTTCTCTAGGAGGTGGGTCAAAAAGGATCTTGCTGTGATTTATGTCACAGATTGTTCTGCCTATGTTTTCCTCTGAGAGTTTTATAGTGTCTGGCCTTACATTTAGGTCTTTAATCCATTTTGAGTTTATTTTTGTGTATGGTTTTAGGGAGTGTTCTAATTTCATTCTTTTACACGTAGCTGTCCAGTTTTCCCAGCACCACTTACTGAAGAGGCTGTCTTTTCTCCATTGTATATTCTTGCCCCCTTTATCAAAGATAAGGTGACCATATGTGCGTGGGTTTATCTCTGGGCTTTCTATCCTGTTCCAGTGATCTATATTTCTGTTTTTGTGCCAGTACCATACTGTCTTCATTACTGTAGCTTTGTAGTATAGTTTGAAGTCAGGGAGCCTGATTCTTCCAGCTCTGTTTGTCTTTCTCAAGGTTGCTTTGGCTATTCGGGGTCTTTCATGTTTCCATACAAATTGTGAAATTTTTTTGTTCTAGTGCTGTGAAAAATGCCAGTGGCAGTTTGATAGGGATTGCACTGAATCTGTAGATTGCTGTGGGTAGTAGAGTCATTTTCACAATGTTGATTCTTCCAATCCAAGAACATGGTATATCTCTCCATCTGTTTGGTCATCTTTAATTTCTTTCATCAGTGTCTTATAGTTTTCTGCATACAGATCTTTTGTCTCCTTAGGTAGGTTTATTCCTATGTATTTCATTCTTTTTGTTGCAGTGGTAAATGGGAGAGTTTCCTTAATTTCTCTTTCAGATTTTTCATCATTAGGGTATAGGAATGAAAGAGATTTCTGTGCATTACTTTTGTATCGTGCTACTTCACCAGATTCATTGATTAGCTCTAGTAGTTTTCTGGTGGCATCTTTAGGATTCTGTATGTATAGTATCATGTCATCTGCAAACAGTGACAGTTTTACTTCTTCCTTTCCGATTTGGATTCCTTTTACTTCTTTTTCTTCTCTGATTGCTGTGGCTAAAACTTCCAAAACTATGTTGAATAATAGTGGTGACAGTGGGCAACCTTGTCTTGTTCCTGATATTAGTGGAAATGGTTTCAGTTTTTACCATTGAGAACGACGCTGGCTGTGCGTTTGTCATAAATGGCCTTTATTATGTTGAGGTAAGTTCCCTATATGGCTACTTTCTGGAGAGTTTTTATCAAAAAATGGGTGTTGAATTTTGTCGAAAACTTCTTCTGCATCTATTGAGATGATCATATGGCTTTTCTCCTTCAATTTGTTAATATGATATATCACATTGACTGATTTGCATATATTGAAGAATCGTTGCAATCCCACTTGATCATGGTGTATGATCCTTTAAATGTGCTGTTGGATTCTGTTAATATGATTTATCACATTGACTGATTTGCATATATTGAAGAAGCATTGCAATCCCACTTGATCATGGTGTATGATCCTTTAAATGTGCTGTTGGATTCTGTTTGCTGGTATTTTGTTGAGGATTTTTGCATCTACGTTCATCAGTGATATTGGCCTGTAGTTTTCTTTCTTTGTGATATCTTTGTCTGGTTTTCATACCAGGGTGATGGTGGCTTTGTAGAATGAGTTTGGGAGTGTTCCTCCCTCTGCTATATTTTGGAAGAGTTTGAGAAGGATAGGTGTCAGCTCTTCTCTAAATGTTTGATAGAATTCGCCTGTGAAGCCATCTGGTCCCAGGCTTTTGTCTGCTGGAAGATTTTAAATCACAGTTTCAATTTCAGTGCTTGTGATAGGTCTGTTTATATTTTCTATTTCTTCCTGGTTCAGTCTCAGAAGGCTGTGCTTTTCTAAGAATTTGTCCATTTCTTCCAGGTTGTCCATTTTATTGGCATATAATTGTTTATAGTAATCTCTCATGATCCTTTGTATTTCTGCATTGTCAGTTTTTACTTCTCCTTTTTCATTTCTAATTCTGTTGATCTGAGTCTTCTCCCTTTTTTTCTTGATGAATCTGGCTAATGGTTTATCAATTTTGGTTATTTTCTCAAAGAACCAGCTTTTAGTTTTATTGATCTTTGCTATCGTTTCCTTCATTTCTTTTTCATTTATTTCTGATCTGATCTGTATGATTTCTTTCCTTTTGCTAACTTTGGGGGTTTTTTGTTTTTCTTTCTCCAATTGCTTTAGGTGTAAGGTTAGGTTGTTTATTTGAGATGTTTCTTGTTTCTTTCTCTGTTTTTGGCTGCTTTGGGTCTTCGCTGCGTGCCGGCTTTTTCCAGTGTGGCAAGCGGGGGCTACTCTTCATTGCGGTGGGCAGGCTTCTCATTGCGGTGGCTTCTCTGGTCATGAAGCATGGACTCTAGGCGCGTGGGATTCAGTAGTTGTAGCTTGCGGGCTCTAGAGAGCAGGCTTAGTAGTTGTGGCGCACAGGCTTATTTGCTCTGCAGCATGTGGGGTCTTCCTGAACCAGGGCTCAAACCCGTGTCCCCTGGATTGGCAGGCAGATTCTTAACCACTGCGCTACCAGGGAAGTCCCATTTCTTGTTTCTTGAGGTAGGATTGTATTGCTATAACCTTCCCTCTTAGAACTGCTTTTGCTGGATCCCACAGGTCTTGGGTCATTATGTTTTCATTGTCATTTATTTCTAGGTATTTTTTTGATGTTCTCTTTGATTTCTTCAGTGATCTCTTCATTATTTAGTAGTATGTTATTTAGCCTCCCATGTGTTTGTATCTTTTACAGATTTTTTCCTGTAATTGATATCTAGTCTCAGCGTTGTGGTCAGAAAAGATACTTGATACGATTTCAATTTTCTTAAATATACCAAGGCTTGATTTGTGACCCAAGATATGATCTACCCTGGAGAATGTTCCATGTGCACTTGAGATTTAATCCACTGCTCCTGAGGCTGCTGGCAGAGACTTCCCTTTCTCTCGTTTGTTTGCACAGCTCCTGGGGTTCAGCTTTGGATTTGGCCCCGCCTCTGTGTGTAGGTCGCCTGAGGGCGTCTGTCCTTCACTCAGGACGGGGTTAAAGGAGCAGCTGCTTAGGGGGCTCTGGCTCACTCAGGCTGGGGGGGAGGGAGGGGTATGGAATGTGGGGCGGGCCTGCAGCAGCAGAGGCCGGCGTGACATTGCAACAGCCTGAAGCGTGCCATGTGTTCTCCCAGGGAAGTTGGCCCTGGATCACTGGACCCTGGCAGTGGTGGGCTGCACAGGCTCCCGGGAAGGGAGGTGTGGATAGTGACCTGTGCTCGCACGCAGGATTCTTGGTGGCTGTAGTAGCAGCCCAGCGTTTCATGCCTGTCTCTGACGTCCGTGCTGATAGCTGCGACTCGCGCCCATCTCTGGAGCTCATTTAGGCGGTGCTCTGAATCCCCTCTCTTCGCGCACCCTAAAACAATGGTCTCTTGCCTCTTAGGCAGTTCCAGACTTTTTCCCAGACTCCCTGCCGGCTAGCTGTGGCACACTAGCCCCCTTCAGGCTGTGTTCACGCAGCCAACCCCAGTCCTCTCCCTGGGATCTGAACGCCAAAGCTCGAGCCTCAGCTCCCAGCCCCCGCCCGCCCCGGCGGGTGAGTGGACAACCCTCCCAGGCTGGTGAGAGTCGGCACCGATCCTCTGTGCGGGAATCTCTCCTCTTTGTCCTCTGCACCCCTATTGCTGTGCTCTCCTCTGTGGCTCCGAAGCTCCCCCCCATGCCCACCCCCCGTCTCCACCAGTGAAGGGGCTTCCTAGTGTGTGGAAACTTTTCCTCCTTTACAGCTCCCTCCCCGAGGTGCAGATCCCATCCCTGTTCTTTTGTCTCTGTTTTTCCTTTTTTCTTTTGCCCTACCCAGGTATGTGGGGAGTTTCTTGCCTTTTGGGAAGTCTGAGGTCTTCTGCCAGCATTCAGTAGGTGTTCTGTAGGAGCTGTTCCACATGTAGATGTAGTTTTGATGTATTTGTGGGGAGGAAGGTGATCTCCACGTCTTACTCCTCTGCCACATTGAAGGCACCTGACCTTTGTTTGAATTTTAAAAGCTAGCTCCTTTAATTCATTTGAAATTTCTGATTGTGAGCTAAGAATGTAAATAGATTTTATCAATAGGTTAGCTATCTCTAAGCACCATGTTTGAACAATCCTTTCCTTCCCCATGATTTGTGATGCCTCCTTTGTTATACTGTATTTAATGTAGTTTCTGTTTCTAGCTAGCCTCTGTCCTCACTCCCCTACTATTTTTGCCATTCCCTGAATGAGCCAGGTGGCTAATTTCCGGCCTTTGCTGTATACTTGGCTCCCTCTGCCAGACCATCCTAAAACAATCTCTGGTCAACTCACTCTTCCACATCCCCCAACAACTATGTCAAATCTTCTCAACTCAGACCTCCAGCTTCCCCTGACACCCATTCTGTCCTTCACTCTCAACCAATATCCTTGCCTCTAACTTGTACAAAGAAAGGAGTGCAATTCATCATACCAAACATAAACCTTCTGCTATCTCCCCTTCCCTACAATGACATCTTTCATCATGCAGGGTAATTCCTGCTCCTGTGCTGATCCCAGCCTCTCTGGCCTGAAGTGTCTAGAGCCCTTCTTTCTCATGTATTCACTCCTTCAGCTGCATCCTCCTCTCTGAGGTTCCCACCCTTCACCTCAGTGGCTCTTTCTCTCACTGCCCCTCCAACTAAAATCCCATTTTTCTCTTCCCCTCAGGTTAATTCTTGCAGCTCCTTCTTTCTTTCCATTTCCTCTCTTCCTAGGTATACAACTTCCCATAAAGACAACTTTCATGTGATTAAAGCCAATGAGTAGTTTTAGTTCCTCCCTCTTTTGACACTGGCAGTTTTCAGCATAGGTGACCACTTTCTCTGTGAAATACTCATACCTGACTTCCAAAACCTCCCACTCCCCTGGTTCTCCTCCTTCCTTCCTACACTCCTGACTGTCCTTTAGTTGTCTCCTCTGCAGGCTCATCTTCAAGGCTTGGTTCTAGGCCCTCTCCTCTTCTTACCTTCGAGTTTCTCCCCAGAGATCTTGTCCTCGTCCGGGGCTTCTTAATCCACTTGGGCTGCTTTCCAGCTTCTTCTCAAAATGTGATCTTGTCACCTCCCTGCAATAACTTTTCGATGGCACTTTAGGATAAAGACACAAAGTAAAAAAGCCTTACCATGGCCTGCAAGGCCTCTTTGTCTTAGGCTTTGTCACCACCCAAATCTCCTGTCCCCCTCTGCCTACACCAGCTGCACCAGCTTCCTTTCTGCCCCTGGTGCTTTACCTGTTCCCATCACTGGGTCTCTGAAGACTGAGGGCTACCCCCCATGCCCGCAATGCTTCTAACTCCTAGGTCTAAGTGTCACTTTCTCAGGGAAAGTTCCCTGCCCTTCATGAATAGATGAGGCTTCCTGTCCCCCTGACAGGCTCTCTTATCACCATGGACTGTTCCTATGTGCCACTTGTCATAGCTGCAGCTGTTCATGAGTGGTTTCTGTCTCACCCTCCATGAGGGCAGAAACGTTTACTGCCATGTTCCAATGAATTGCTTCCCTACCTTTCACCTGGCTGGCACTGCTGACTCTAGGAGGCATTCCTGGGCAGGTGACTTTCATGTGTGCTCTTCCACAGCACCCTGCTCTTGACCCTACTGTGGCACTTATACTCCTGTAAGTTCTTCATTCATTCAACCAGTTTTTTTTGTTTTTGTTTGTTTGGCTCATTCTGTGTGTCAGGCGTTATGCTAGATACTAGCTTTTCTGCTAAAATGTTTCTTCATACCTTTGAATCACAGACCCACCAGAGAACACGGTGTGAGCCACACTCCCTCTCTTTTCCAGAAAAGGACCCATACTCACATCTTGCAAAAGACTTTAGCAGGGTTCATGAGCACCCTGCAGTCTATGAACAACCTGCACCAGATTGCAAGCACCTGGAAAGCAGGGTCTGCGTGCTCTTCTACTTTATCCCCTGTACCCAGCAAAGAACTTCGTCCACAGAAACAAAATCAGTATCTGTCAACTGAAACTCAATGACAAACCAAGTTCACTACAACTTAATGTAGTGGGTAAAGCTGTGGGCTGCCTGGGCTTAATTCCTGGTCATTAGTTGTGCTGTGACTTGAGGAAGTCACTTCACCTCTCTGTGCCTCAGTTTAAGCACCAGGAAAATGGCATCACTAGGTGTTCGTGAAGATTACATCCTGCGTGATTGTGAAGGTTAAGTTAATTAATACCATAAATGACAAAGCATTCAGAAACTCATTAAACTATCACAGCAACCCATTTTAAAGATGAGTTAACAGATGCACGTAAAGTAGCCCAAGGTTGGTCAGCTAATAAAGGGCAGACCTTGGATTCAAACCCAACAGCCTAGCTGAGTCCTGCTCTTAGCCCTGTGCTCTGCACATAGCAATGATCCAGGTAAATGTTTTCTAAATCACAACGTGGTTTATTTTCTGATACTTCATGTTTCTTAAGCGTTTTTGAGGAGTGAAACCCACTTCTGTAATATGCACAATTTTCATAACACGGTTCCCTCGACGAACACCGGTAATTCAGTTAACTTCTACTTTTATAACATGTACGACCTGCTGACAGTTTCAAATTAACCCCAATGTTTGTAAGAAAGGAAAAACGAGGGCCCAAAGCAGAGGATACTAGGGAGCGATCGAAAGCCACACATCCATCATGTGGGGCCTGCGCTCATATCCAGAGAAACTTCCGACCTGCGGCGCCCCAGCGTCCACCCAGCTCCCGAGCCAGCCAGGCGGAGCTGAGCAGCTGGCGGGAAGTCTGGCTTCACGGTGGGCAGCTCCCGACTCCAGCCTCTCGGCCGCTGTGCGGCCGGAGACGATCACCCCCAGGGGCGCAGGACCGGGGCGACTCACCTGTCGGCGTCCACTCTGCACAAGGCGCGAGTTCCGGGTCTCTGGCTCCGTCCTCCCCCCCTCCCCAGGCCAAGGCTCCCCGCAGCCTGGCGTCCTCCCGAGGCCTGGGAACAGGGGCCAGGGTCCCAAGCCGCCAGCCAATTCCCCTCAGCAGCTCTGGCCCCGCTTCGCGGAACCCACAGACACGCCCTAGAGCTCCCAACGCAGCCAATCAGGGCGCGGGGCGCAGGCTACGTGACCCTCCTGGCGGGGCGGGGCCGGGCGGAGCGGAGGGGACCTGCGGAGTTGGGCCAGCGTGCGAGTCAGCTGTTCGGGGAACAGCGCCTCTGGCCGGCAACTATTGCTTCCGGCATTTTCTCACCCTTTCCCTCCCAGTATTTTAGAGAACTTGGAGTTTCAGTCCTTTTGTCCCTTGGGGAGTGTCACTAGCCCGGGAGAAAAAAAGGGTAGAAATAACTCAAACCGCTATATCTTTAAGCTATATCTTTAAGCTACAGCCATTCAGAATTCCCAAAATTAGTCGATAGGTAAAGAACTAAGTTACAAAAGAAACGTAGTTTAAAAAATCCCAAAACTTCTCTGGTACATATCTAGTTTTCCTGCCCCCTCGCCACCCCAATCCAGCAGTCAGCTACAGTGTCTGATGCGTCTTTAACAGCCTCCCTCCTGCCGCTTTCACCCAAATACTCACCTTTTCTGATAAACTGCTAGGTGCTTTACATTCTAATTATTACCTGTGATGCCAACCTCATAGATTAACAAATTTCTCCTTAAAGCCAGGCTCAATGTCTGTCCCATTTATTCTCATATTTATCCATACACATATTTATGGCATGCCTGTTAAAGTGTCAAGCATGTGAAGCTGCAATGACAAAACAGCGGTGCACAAGACAAGAGGGAATAAAGTACATTCCCTATCCTGATGAGGTTTACATTCTAGTGGAGAACAAAGACATTAACAACCAATGACATGATTAATCACAACTAGAGTTGAATGTTTCCAAGGACAGGGTGCCCTGACTGGCCTAGCTGTCCTATGCTGGGTGTGGAGCTGGGGGTCAGGAAAGCTGTGATTTTCCCAGCCTGTATGTAGTCCCCTCACTTTGCGTATTTCATAGTATACAGTGCACAGTTCTAACACCTTAACGCGCAAGATGGCCCTCTCTCTTTGTGGAGTGTCCTTGTAGATACTGATGAATTAATTTTCCTATGAACAGTGCTTGGCACATGGTAGGGACTCAGGAAATGCTAACCAAATCTTTGAGTCTAGTCTTATTACCCAGTTTGTGCTCAATGGCTTTGTTGAGAGGGACTGACAAGTTGCACTTCAATTCCACAGAGTAGCAGCAAGAATCCTGGCTCCTTGTCTCTAGGTCAACTTTGATCTCCAGGATATTCTAGAATTAACTGGGTGGCTAATGTATGTGAGGTAGGGGAGTGTTTGCCCAGTAACCCTTCTCCCTCTGAGTTACCCATATACAAAACCCCCATTATTCATGGCTTTATCACACTCTTTTTCCTGAAATACAAGGATTTGGGGTCCAGACTAACCAAAGTGTGTCACCTGCATCTAGGAAAAGGGAATTAAAGTAGGATACAGAAAAGAGAAGGACATTAAGGAATGTAAACTAGGGCCTTAGAACTGCATGCGGCAGTCACTGGTCAGGAGGAAGGGAGCAGAGATGTGCATTAAGGTGCTAGCAGCTTATATCAGGGCTCCACATAATTGTATGAGGAATGACAATACATATAACCCTGTGCATTGTAATCACACTTGAAATTGACCAACTTAGCTATGCCAGTTGTCTTAAATAAATGCTACCCAAAGTTTTTTCCATCCTAGTTTAAAGAGTTCATTTCTAGAACCATACAATCAGAAAAACACTTGGATGGAGAAACGGGGGTTCAAAGAACCTAGAACCTAGTATTAGGCATATTACCTACAAGAAAATTACAAACATATGTTTGAAATTGTGGGAAGATCCTGAAGTTTCTAGTACACAAGAGATGGTTAAAAGTAATATTGCTATCAGTCTTTTATATCCCAAATTAGTAACTGTTTTAAGTGAATGTGAAAAACTTAAAAACGTAGTTCCCTCAGTTCAGTTTTTCCAAGTTTCTAAGCACAGTTTTTGGTAATAAGAGTTCAAGAAGTATCTGCTGAATGAACAAAATGTCTTAAAATCCCTCAACCACCTGTAGGGTTTTTAGAACACTAACCCTTCCAGTTAGGGGCACAACACTGTATTTAAACATAGTGCATTTGCTCAGTTGGAGCACATTGATTGATACCTCTCTTTCCCTTTTGGTGATTTTTTTGTTTTAGTCACAATTTAGACCAAACTGAAAAAAGCTTTCCCCACCCCACCCCCCAAACATATGAAAATCCTTCTACATTTAAAAGTAAAATATCAGTGCCTATGTTGAAATAGTGTTCTTTTACTAAAATACTGATTTATTCATATGAACACTGCATCTTTTATTCCCCAAATGGTGATGGTAAATTCCAAGTCAATGAATTTCTCAATTCTGTATAGTACAATCAGGTCCAAAGAGCAGGATGTAAAGTACAGGTGTGAAAAACAAAATATTACTCCTTATTAACAGTGATAAAAGAAGATAAGGCAGTTTTTTCTTTCATTTTCTTTCTTTCATCTCATTTCTTTCTCAGTAATGAATTTATTGATCAGTATTAATTCATTATCCAGGATACTTTTTAAAATGTGTATCATCTAAAAATAAAAATGATTGTTTCTGGATTTCTGACTCAAATTTATTTTGAGTTCTTTAAATACAATTACCACACTGAACATCATAATAAAGATGGGAAAACAAAAGCCAATGGTTATAATTCCAAATGGTAAGAACTGGCCTACTGGAGAACAGTAAAGGGATAATAATAATGATAACAATAATGGCAGCTAACCAGAGCTGCAGTGGGCAGTTATGCAGACTATGCACTGCACATTCCAGGGAGCTAGCTACACAGAACAGCAATCCTGTAGCTAATATTTACTGAGCATCCTACCACATGCCAGGCACTGTTATGAGCATTTCATATGTAGTATGAAGCAGATACTACTCTCATCCTCACTTTTTATAGAAGAGAAAAAAGAAGCACAAAAGGTTAATAATTGCCCAAGATCTCAAAGCTAATGAGTGACAGAGCCAGGCATTTGACTCCAGGGCCCACACTCTTAACTGCTACCCCATACTGACTAACTCAGAGTTATAAGCCCAATTACTTGAAAAAAATCTCTTTGGTTTTAAATCTTTCTTATAGATAACTTTATTTTTAAAAGTACAAAGTATTTGGAAGGTAGTATTCTTACTTGGAATAATTTTGAAAAGTATTTTACTAAATATATATTAGCTGTTTCTTCATTCAGAATGGTGACATGTAGTTTACAGAATCTGTCTCTAATTTGTGATCACATCTCACATACCAATGCTCTCCCCCTTACCTAAAACAAACAAAAAATTTTTAAAAAAGGAAAGGAAAAAAAGAAAAGCAACCACCAAGTACACAGGATTCCATATATGCATATACTTTAATAACAAAGTCACTTTAGCTGTAACTGAACAAAGAAAGGGAGACAAGAAGAACTTTACACATGATACTATGATATCCACAACTTTGGGTCAAAACAGGCATACATGAAGCTTTAAAATATATATTGTCTATGTTAATGGAGGCTACAACTACCAATTTTGATTACACATGTTTTCTGAAACATTATTGTCAAAGAGTTCAAAGTTAGACCAAATAATGATGTCAAGAAAAATTCTGTCTTAAAATTTTAACAAAGTCTTTTAAGAAAGTCTAAAATCCTATATTCTCACACTGACTCTCAAAACTTTGATTTTTATATCAGAATATCAGTTTGCCACTTTAATTTTTACCATACATGAAAGATTATCAAAAATATATTGATGGGTCTATACTAATTGTGACTATTCATATTTACATTAAGCAAATTCTTTTACCAAGTTCTTTATATACAAATTACCATTTGTCCTATGTCAAATTCATTAAAAAGTTAAAAACTACAGAAATGTTATTAGAAATAATGCATTTCAATATGTAACTGTTTTCCATTAATGAAGAACATTTTAAAATAATTTAACTGAAAAAGTACTGAACTGCCCACCAATTTCTGCTGCAACGGTATTCCTTCTGAATGTTTTCTGTGATTTAAGGAAAAAAAAAAAACTGGGTAAAGCTTGATTGCAAGGAATGACAAAAATCTGATGACTGTTTATTGATCTTCAAGAAATTTACAGACTAATTATATTGGTATTAAAAAATAGCAATGATTTTAAAAACGTAAACAGTTCAAGATAACTGAAGAAACAGAAGTCTTTAAAAACTGGCAAATGCACTATATGAATACTTTTCATATAAATTTAAATCACAAAATAGTATCCCATAACCAGTTGAACTGAATACAGGCATGGCTTTCTGACACTTCCAAAAACGGCCAACATTTTAAAAAAACTTAAACTATTCCCAAACTGGAAATAATTTAGATTTTAGAAGTATCACAATAAATAAAAGAAATTTATAAAATCAAGAGAAGATTTGGGGAAATTTTCATAAGGGGATTATATTAATACCACTAAAATAAAAAAGTCACTTTAATTGTTTTAGACTCCTGGTCACACAGGAAGGAAATGAAAAGGATGGCTTTTTCTGAGGAAAAACCTGAGCATGACATCATAAGCTTTTCAAATTTGAAGATCATCAGTTCAGATGACCATAAAACTGAGTACAGCACTTTGTCCACTACAGATACATTTCTCTTGTCTAAGAATTAACTGATTTTGTAACAATCACTGAAAAATTTATGCCTCAGGTTCTCTGGTTTGAAAATAGAGATTAGCTCCATTTTGGAAATTATATTAATTTATGTTGATTATACACTCCGCTAAAGCAAGAAATAAAGCTCTAAAATATTTACCTAGTTAGTGCTCTGTCTCTGGACTTTAGGACCAATACTCTGTGTGTCCTCTTCCTGACTAGGACGTTTCCCACTGCTGAGGCCAGTGCACGTGGAGCTTCTTCCTACACATTTAAAAAAATGTATGCTTAAGATAAGAAAGGTGAGAAGAAGAGTATGCTCGAATGCTACATTCTTACCTTGCTTTAATAGGTGAGTTTGCTGACTATCTCCATGAGCATAATGTAAAATACCACTCCCTGGAGTGCAACCTGTTAGTATGTTAAACATAGTAAAATTACTTAAACTAATTTCAAGTTGTATGTATTACGATTACAAATCTAATTTTTAGTATTTGTATTGTGCGTTTTAGGATTAATCCACAGCCCTTCATATGAACCAAAACTCATACCCAAATCAGGAAAACTTAACTTGTCCTTAAATTTAGGGTCATAGAAATATCGACTGTTCAAGGGCAAAATCACTGATAATCATTTTCTAAAAAACACTTCTTTACTGGATGACAATTAGACACTTGATCATGAAGTCAAAACATAGGGCATCAGTGAGATATACATCCTTCCTTCACCTCCTCCTCCCTCAGCACCTATCTAAAACATATGTCCTTGGAGATACAGTAAGGGAATACGGTCCTGCCAGATGAGAGTTAAACAAAGGAGCAGTTACCTAGCCTGTAAAATTGTATCAACTCTCCTAAAAAGAAAAAATGTTATAGGAGAATGGGTTAGCACAGAAAAGTAGATTCTAGAGAAAACATTACGGAAAAATATGAGGATCCTACCCCTAGGAGTGGTTGCATGATGGCCCGAACAAGACAATCTACTTATTTTTAGTGTAACTTCATACTTATCACATTTCTCTGGATAAAGAATTCAGCTTTTCGGGTACTCAAAATTGGGAAAGTGAATGCCCGATCAAGGATGAGGACTTCTGGAAAGGAATATTTCCACCATAAGCTAATAAACTAATGTTCCTTGTTGATATTTTAATTCATATGATTTTAAAATTTCTAGTCTGTCATTCACAGAATGGTCACCACTAATTATAGCAAACGTTCAGGCTTTAGACTTGTAAGGCTGAAGGCCAGACTCTGGACTGTGGCAAATTCACCGCTGAATGGCGCTGCTACTGGTCTTACCATCATCAGGGCTTCCCCTAGTAGCGATACTTGTCATCATGCATCTTTGCACAACTCTACTGAAATATTCACAAAATAATGTGAAGGTACTTAATTCCACTGAATTGTATATTTAAAATGGTTAAAATGCTAAATTTTATGTTGTGCATATTTTACAATTAAAAAAACTTCAACAAATACATTTTTCAATTATCGTATTTATTTGATTTTTATTGTTATTTTCTATTTTTCTGAATTTTCTAAACTGTCTATAGTGAATAGTTTTTTAAAGCAGTTTTGAGGAATAATTTATATACCATAAAATTCAACTGTTTTAAGGGTACAGTTCAATAATTTTTAGTTAATTTACAGAGTTGTGTAATCACCAGCATAATCCAGCTTTAGAACACTTTCATCACATCCAAAAGATCCCTCATGTCCATTTGCTTTCATTCTCCATTCCTACCTATAAGCCTAAGGTAGGCACTAATCTAATTTCTCTTTTAAAAACACGACTTTCCTCACTAGTTCATATAAGTGGAATCATGCAGCATGTGGTCTTTTGTGTCTGGCTTCTTTAACTTAACATAATATTTTTGAGATTTATCCATGTTGTAGCATATATCAGCATTTTGTTCCTTTTTATGAATTAATATTCCATTGTATGGATATACTCCATTTTGACTATCATGAATAAAGCTATTATAAACATTCACATATAAGTCTCTGTGTAGACATATTTTCACTTCCTTTGGATAGATACTTAGGAATGGAATTTATGGGTTGTATGTTAAATTTATGTTTAGCTTTTAAGAAACTGCCAAACTGCTTCCCAAAATGGCTTCACTGTTTTACACCCTACCTCTCAGCAATGTATGAGCATTCCAGTTTCTTCACATCCTCCACACACTTGTTACTGTCTGTCTTTTTTATTTCAACCACTCTAGTGGTTATAGGGTGACCAACTCATCCCAGTTTGGGACTCTTCAAGTGTTAGCATGGAAAGTACTGTGTCCCAAGAAACTCCTCAATGCCAGGCAGTCAGTGATAACTGGTCACCCTAAGTAGGTGTGAAGTCCTATCTCTTAGTAGTTTTAATTTGCATTTCCCCAATAACTAATAATGCTGAACAGGTATTTTATAATAGAAAAAATTTTAGTAGTCTGCTTTATTATAAGAACAAAAATACCTCAAGACATCTATGTATGTTAGTTTATTCCTTTCCTGAGCACAAAAAGTCTACAAAAATGAGAGGACAAAAATGCAGTTTCTGTTGCAGAGATTAAGAATTTTTGCATAGTCATTAAAAAACTTAAATCATAAAGAATCTTGCCCTTTGAAATGCCTTTAAGACACTGTAAATAAAAGCCTACGAATAGGGTAAGTATGGGGCATTAAGGGATACGCTTCCGAAGTATAGTCCTTTCTAGCATTTAAAAAATTTTTTTAATTTATTTTTTGGCTGCGTTGGGTCTTCATTGCTGCGCACAGGCTTTCTCTAGTTGCGGTGAGCTCGAGTTACTCTTTGTTGCAGTGCGTGGGCTTCTCGTTGCGGTGGCTTCTCTTGTTGTGAAGCGCTGGCTCTAGGTGTGCCGGTTTCTGTAGTTGCAGCACGCAGGCTCAGTAGTTGCAGCATGCAGGCTCTAGGGCATGCGGGCTTCAGTAGTTGTGGCGTGTGGGCTTGGCTGCTCTGTGGTATGTGGGATCTTCCTGGACCAAGGATCGAACCCATGTCCCCTACATTGGCAGACAGATTCTTAACCACTGCGCCACCAGGGAAGTCCCCATGTAAGTCCTTTCAAATGGAACAGAAACCTGAAGGGAGAAATTCTTAACAGCATAGTATCCTAAGGATCTTGCCATAATCACTCCCATTTTCAGGTCTACAATGCTCTCTCCTTCATCTGCCTACTTAAATGCTACCCACCCCACCATCTTCTTCTTTTTAAAAAATATTTATTTATTTATTTATTTATTTTTGGCTGCATTGGGTCTTTGTTGCTGTGTGCGGGCTTTCTCTAGCTGTGGTGAGTGGGGGATACTCTTCATTGTGGTCCATGGGCTTCTCATTGCGGTGGCTTCTCTTGTTGCAGAGCACGGGCTCTAGGCACGTGGGCTTCTGTAGTTGTGGCACATGGGCTCAGTAGTTGTGGCTCACGGGCTCCAGAGCACAGGCTCAGTAATTGTGGCGCACCAGCTTAGTTGTTCTGCAGCGTGTGGGATCTTCCCTGACCAGGGCTTGAACCCATGTTCCCTGCACTGGCAGGCAGATTCTTAACCACTGCACCACCAGGGAAGTCCCCCACCATCTTCTAAGAAAAGTTTCCTAGTTCCTTCAACTCCCTTTTTTCCTATTGCATGAGGAGGCAGTGTCTTACAATTTATCACTTTTTTCATTTTTTTTTTACCCCCTTCCACACCCCCATTTAGACTCTAAGCTCTATGTAGCTTTTATGTCTTCTATGTCTTTTGAAAGCCTCTAAGCACCTAGCTACAAAGTGTGTTATAGGCAAATATTTACATGATTAGACTACTTTCAAGATTTATTAATCCTATCACAAAACATCATGTTTATAAATTTGTGAAGCAAAATTATTCCAGTTTAACTTGCTAACATGATTAGTTTTGCAGATAAATACAGATTTGGACTAAGAAACAGTATGTACCATCATCATCCATTAGCTAGGTAACTGGAGTCTGTTGCTTTCCACCCTCTGCCACCTGCTTGTTATCTCACTGCTTCACAGAACTTCTGTCCCTCAAACTCATGTGTGGGCAAAAGAGGCAGTCTGTGAACTGCATAATAAATCTGATAGAACTTTTGAAATGCTACCTTGTTAAAGTTTACTTCAAATTGTAGGAGACGCTGAGAAAGAACATTTTTGAAGTATACTGCCATCATTAGCAACAATTTGAATGCAGGTGAAACACGTTCCAGTAATAAAATATTTTGTCTTATGAACACTACATTTGGTATTACATTTGCAGGGGAGACCCAGTGATACAGGAAAGAGTATGAACTTTAGGACTAGTTAGACTTGGATCTGAATCTTAGCTCAACTACTTACTAACTGTGGGATCTTGGTTAAGTTACCTAACTCTTCTAGGCTAATTTTCCCAATCATAAAATGAGAAGCCTACCACCACCCCTCAAGGTTATTGTGAGTATGTGGCCAAAATCCCCTCATACTTAGGCACAAAGTAGGCAGTCAAGATATGAGTGCTTTCGTTCCTTTCTCCTTAAGCTAATTGTTGATGCTCTCAAAAGTATGCAAAATATTTCTGAATTCAGAAAGGTTCAATTTGTTAAAGGTGTTATTCTTAATATCAAATTTTGAATAGCTGACTTCTTTTTTTAAAAAAAAATAAGCATTCCTCTAATGCAGCCTTGGTGGTTTTTTTTTTGCCTTTTAGTAACCATGCAGAATTATTTATTTTACTACCTATAACTGATATACCAAAAAAACCTTATTTCCAAACCACAAAATGACGTTTTAGAATTTAGAATATGGATGTTTTTATCCCCTTACATGACCAAACAGAAAGTAATAAGTCCAGCCATTCAGGCTTGTTTTTAATCAAATTAATTAGCTTCATGCTATTTTTGGTTAGAACCTTTGAAAATTGATATGATTCAAATTTCCAATACATACTGACTTCTTGACACATATTAAGAACATATGTGGCAACTAACTATATATATCACAAAGAAAACCATTATAGACCAGGCTTTGTAAGAAAAAACTCATGTGCAAAAGGACTAGAGGCCCTATGCATGTGCGTGATAAATCTTTTGGCCACGTTCACAGGGCCTCTGACCTTCTTAACTAATTACCTTATAGCTGATATATACTTAAAGGGAGTAAAAAATAATGACCATTCTGAATATATAACATTTCAGTTTCATTTTATCCTTAAAAATTGCTAACCTCGTTCAGTTTGCAAGAAGATCTTTACCTTGACCCAATTCCACCATATATAATGATGTTTCTATCTCTAAAATGTCACTAATGGAGTGAGGGTATGTGTGTATGTATATGTACATGTATGCATGTGTACAAGGAACCTATTACACAATTTAAAGATAGATTTTAAAAAACATATTATAGTGAGGTACGATAAACAATATATTTATAATTAATCTCTTTATGTTACTAAGTACAGAAATTTCCTTTTCACTTACTTCCACTGCTGCTATAACCTGGGATATTTTCTCCAGGAGAATACCCCATGAGGCCTCCATTCCCATTAGGATTAGATGGCACTGATGCAAGAAGACCTAAAGGGAAAAAATTTCCTATTAAGTTATGATCAAGTTCAAGGATGGGTACATAAACAGCTGCCAAAGAAACAAATCAAAGGCATTTACTGACATACCTAGTCCTCTGTATCGTGAAAGCTGCTGATAGATCTGTTTCATCCTCTCAATATTCAAACGGCTTGCCTCAGCATGGTTCACCATTGGTTTAGGGTAATTAACTCCTATCAAACATTTGGCTACCTTTTGAATACCTTCTGGTGCATTCCAGGGATCATAGATATATTTTGCAGGGAAGCCTCTTAGGACAGGCAAATAACGTCTTTTGGGAGAAGGAAGAAAAATTATTAATAAAATGAACTATAAGCAAATTATAACAAACTATTTATTAGCTATGAATGACCAAAATCAAATCAATACCATTTAAATGATTTGTTACCCTTATGCTCATCTCTGCTGCCCATGATGAGTGGGGAATACCCACTTTTCATGTTGCTTAAACATGAAAAGTTCTTCCTAGATTAGCTATTCCAAACTGAATAATAATCATTCTTGATTTACCTGATATAGTCTCCATTGGGATCTGTTCTCCTACCAAAACCAACAGGGCAATAGCAGTGAAAAAACTGTTGGAAAAAGGAACTACAAGACAGCCACATCCAACTTCCAGCATTTATGCTCCAATCTGCATCAAGTAATAATTCTTCAAATACCTTCGGAAGTAACAGTAATCACAATTAGTTTGCACACACATAATTCTCAAAGCAAGCATTTTTCCAGGTCTCTGTAGATCAAAAGTCAAGGCAAGAAAATCTAGCACAGAGCTGTAAAATTAAACATTCCAAAGTTAGCTTCCTTGTCTGTGTTCTATTCTATAATGAGTTATTTCAGGGAAAGAAACATATTAGTAATATATAGATTTCTGAATAGAATTTACTATTCTAATCTTTGCAGTGTTACTGGAAGAGGGGAGAGTAAAAGTTATTAAAGTCACCAATTTAAAAGGATAAGATGGGATATGAGAAGATTAAAAAACTGGAAGAAAAAGCAGTAAACACTTTCAAGAATGCAAAAATGCTACCAAATAAACCACCAACAAAAACTTAGAAGCTTAGTACATTGGCCTACATAATGGGAGCAATCAAATACAAATGACCTTTAAAAATTCATTAGTATTATACAGTTTAAATTTGGGATTCCTTGATCCAAAAGAGAAATAGAATTAAATTATTTTTTATAAATTCGTTGTGTGCTGTACATCTACCTCATGCACAACTTTGTACTAGGAAATACAGGAGATGTAAAAAAACATAGGATCAGAAATGGTCTTTGGATAGGGGAAATTTATGATATAGGCAGGAAGGTAAAACATATATTTAAGTCCTATTATATATAACCAAAAGATGTCACAAAATGTTGTATGCTTCACATTACATAATATAATTATGACTAAAAAGCTATGGTATTGAAGTGAGATGAAATGATTTATAGCTTAAAATTTATAAAACAAATTTGCTATTTCTAAGAACTCAGATGAATCCTTTATGTGACAGAAATGATCACCTATAAATATATATCGACCCAATAAGTCCAGAGTATTAAATCTTACAGCTCCCTTGATGGCTAGGCTGATTTAGCCACTGAAATGACTTCAGGTTAAATGAACCATTTTTCACCAGTTCTCCTATCTGATTATGCCATTCTGCTCCCCAAAAGTGTGTCTGTATGATGAGAATTAAATGCTTTTCTATTGAAAAAATTAGACTATAAATGAATCTACATAGCAGACAATTTTTAGGAATTGTTTTATAAAGGTATAGAGTTCTTCAGAATAAGGCCATACTACATTAGTTGGAAAAACACTTACCTTCATTCCTTCTTCCCAACTAATCCACAGGTCACCTCGTGTCAGGAAGCAAGCAACTGCATGTCTGGCTAAATGATGGATCCAACCCTCCTGACGAAGCTGTGTCATGATGGCATCAATCCATGGAAAGCCTGTCCGTCCTTCTGCCCATTTCGCTAAAGCCTCAGGATTCTTATCCCAAGGAATCTGAACACAGATGGGATTTCCTTCCATTTTGTCAAAGCGTGGATTATTTGTTGCTGCTGTATAGAAAAATTCACGCCATAACAGTTGCCCATAAAGGGAAAGGGGAGGGGAACTGTTCTTTTTTACCTAAGATTAAAAAGCAAAGAAGTATTATCAGCAATTTAAGAAAAAAGTATTTTGAAAAATAAGCTCCAGTTCCAGATAATACCTTTTTGTAGAGATCTGTCAGTTTGAAGTAAAACAGTCGACATGACAAACAACCAAATCGGAGATAAGGACTGAGTCCAGTAGGGCTAGCGAGCAGGGAATTCGCATTCATTCGAGGTCTTTCAAAGTTTGCCACCCAAGCCTGAAAACACACAGAGAAAATTATGCTAACTAATTGCCTTTTCCATTTTAAAAGATTGTTTAAAGTTGAGATTTTTTTTAAAGTTACATAGGGCTTGGAAAATAAAATATCATTTTTCTAGCCACAAATGACAGATTTTAATAAAAAACAAGCAAGATAAAAGTGATCATTCTTTTGTTTTAGCCATCCTCATGCAGTAAATTCCTAACACAAGGCTGAGAGCACCTTCAATCTGTCTCTCTGACATTGAGAAAAATATGAAATAGAAGAACTCTATCCTAGCTTCAAAGTTATAGTCATCAGATACCAGCTTACAAAGAAAGAATAGAAGGGGTAGTATTGATAGTAGCTAAAGAGGAAATAAGAAGAAGAGGAGGAAGAAGGGTATTTAAATGAAGAGATAGTTGTTAATTTTCAAACAATTAGGATTGTTCTATTTTAACTATTTCTCTCAATCCTTCTTTTTCAACAGTCTATTTTTTTGTTTTTAAAAAAGAGTGAAATTATTTTTAAAATGCCAGTTTGACAATATAAACATCATCTGTATTATCATACTTTTCTTTCCAAATGCCTTTCCAAACGTGTAAGTGCTTCAGTTTCTCCGCCTGGCCACACTGCAGAAGATAAGCCATCTGTATCAAAACCTAAAAAAAAAAGAAAAGAAAAGAAAAAAAATTGACAGTAGCATAAAAATGAAATGACAGCCCTGGATAGGTCCTCACAAATAGATGATATATAACATGGTCTCTGTTCTTTAAGATGTACATTTTAAGGTGATAACAGATAGACCACATATTTATAGAACACATAAATAACGCACAGATTTATCACTTCTTAGTTTCAGACTTTCTTTTCTTTTTTCTCCTTTCTTTTCCTTTTAGTGCAAAATACTTTACATGACAAATTAGAAGTGGGATTTTTCTGAATGGTTTATTAACTCTTAAGCTCCACATGTATTACCGTTTACACCTACCTAGTTCTTCCAGTGAAGGGACTCCATATTTCTCATCATGGTCATCAGACAGAGGAGTTGTGCACTTTTCTATCACTTCTGAAGTAATTGTCTCTACTGGTATCTCTAGTGGTTCCATTTTGCTGATGAGAGTCTGGAATCTTTTATAAGTAAGAGGTGGTTGTCCACCATTTAGTTCTATGATCCTATTACAAAAGTTAGTAAAATGCTGTTAGTATTAAAAAAAGGACAATACATTTTGATTGATAAATTCTGAAAAGGCTTAAGGACCAAGAAACTTGTTAAAATAATTAACAAATCTAAAAATCATTCTCTTCATTTTATAGACATCTGCTAGGTATCAAAAATATAGTGTATGCAAATATCAAAACTTTTAAGACAAAGGGAATTAAGCACCTATGAGTGGAAAAACAAGTGGCTAAATAAGCCTAAAGGCAAAAACAAAAAATAATATATATGGAAATATAAAAACATACCACAACACAGCTCAAAGAATCTCTTAATCATCAATAAAAACTAAACCAGGCCAATATTATACCAAGGAGCAATCAGCAAGTCTCATTAATTAGGATTCTATATTACTGTCATGATAATCACTTGCTATTTTCTATTGTGCTCATGTTTTTGTTAAATGTCAGCATACGTATCTCATGTATATATTTTATATATTAGTGATACTGATCACTAATTTCTCAATTAAGTAATACTAAAAGGAAAGATAAGTCTTACCAATGGTAGTCTGAATTAGACACAATTTGGAAATACCAATTATTCTTTTTCACTATGGCCATTTGCTTACTAGCATTTAGCCTTAGTAAAAAATTATTGGTAAAATCCAACTCCATCGTTTTATGCATCAGCAACTGAAGCCTCAAGAGAATTTAATAGTCAAGGTCACATAACTAATAAATAGCAAATCAAAGTTTTCTTAATCCAAATATAATACAGTTTTCATTATACCACATATAATTATGTATCAGTTGTACATACAGAAAGTAACCACCATAAAAACTATGCTCTCTGCTTTTAGTAATTTTGCTTTGGTGTAACACTTTGAGTTTATATATAGGGTCATAATGAAATTTGTCCACTATAATGATACTACAATGGCACTACTGAGGACACTGCTAATTACATAACAGAAGCAGAACAAAAATCTTAGAAAAAATGTTTTCTATACGTTACATTTTTATATGATGGATTATATGTGGTAAATACTCACACTCAATCTAACAAACATTCCAATTTTATGCACAACACTGAGTTTCCCACTTAAAGCAATTGCTCTTATCTTATTTTGCCTCCTTGCTATCAGCTCTCTAAAGTTAAGAAATCTGGTAAACTAGAAGGCAAGTTTATTATCGAAGGATATATGACTTCTGGCTTAATATCAAGTAAGACCCTTGACTGAATCGAACCACAATATTTTGATACACTTGGAATAAAATTAACTAGCTTGTTGTGTTACTTACAGAATTAGTTTTATTAACTTGACAAAATGTGAAAATAAAAAAGTAAAATAATTTAAAAGGTACGTAAATTGTGAGATTTCAGCACTTGTAAGGATGATAGTATGCTAAAGGTTAATGTTAACAAATCTTATGAACCTTCAAATCTTACAGCATATAAAGCTTTCTAAATTTAAACTTGACCACGGAATCTTTGTTGGACAAAGCATCACCAAAAACTGATAGTCCAGGAAATATACTTTGAGAAATAAGATATTATACCATTTTTCAGAAGACTATGTAATATTACGTAAAATTTGCATATGGACTTAAAATCCAGAGACTAGATATACACACATAAAATAAAATAACTTATGACAATCATGTAAAATATATCAAGGCAGTTTGTGGCTATGTATGTCATATAAACTATAAAATTAACATTGCTAAGAGCCCAGAAAGGTAAGTTAGTAGGCTGAGTTAGAACAGTCAAAGGTAACTGTGTGATGCTTTTAATAGTTTTGACATTGAAATTCTGAGTATGTTTATCTTATGTACTTATGTCTGTAATTTTGGTATCTGTCACTGGGTAAACAAAAATCACAGAGGTTAAATAAAATGCTAAGGGTTTGACATATATTCACTTAATTCTACCACAAGTCTATTATGTATGTTTTTATTTCCACTTTATAAACTAGTCCCACAGTACATTCCCACAGTACATTTTCTATGTACTTAAAACCACTGAAATGTACACTTAAAAGTGGTTAAGATGAAAAATATTATATGTATTTTACCATTAAAAAAACTTACTTGTCTAGGTCATATAATGTATGTGAAATTCGTACAATTACTTCTACCCCAGCTTCAGTAGCCAGTTTCTTAATAGCTGCATCTCGTTCCTTTCCAAAGGGCTCAGAATCATATTCAATTGAAAGTTTAGTAATGTTCCATTCCTAAAATAAAAGAAAGGGGCAAAAACATACATAAATTTTAACAATTAGTTTTTCTATTATAATGACATAGGCTGGAAAAAAGTGAAAAGCTCCAATGCTACCTAGTATATAACAAACACTATATATAAGTGTTTGTCATGATAAAATGGAAAAAAATAACATGTTACCAAGTTGCTGAAAGATTAAATGAGTCAATGCATATAAATTGTTTAGGACATAGTACATAGTAAGTCCTCAGTGAATGATAGCTGTCATTATTACTAGCCATTTGTATATTTCTTACTTTGTGGGTTGCAGCTTATGTTTTCTTGGGTTTCTATCGCAGTTAATTTTTCTCTTAAGGATTTGTAAGAGCTCCTTATATTTTAATGATAGCAAACCTTCTCTATCACCTGTGTCACTTTTTTTCCTAAATAGTTTGTAATTTAATTCTATGATTTTTTTGACAAATAAATATTTAGTTTTTAGTTAGTAAATGTTGGAATTTAGAACAAGTCAATAACACTCCCTCCCCTTTTCCCTTTTTGAAAAGGAAGGGAATATAAGTCAGAAAACTAAAGGTAAAAATATAGATCACACAGTCTCCCAAGGCAACTGAAATAAAAACAAAAATAAACAAATGGGACCTAATGAAACTTACAAGCTTTTGCACAGCAAAGGAAACCATAAACAGAATGAAAAGATAACCTACAGAGTGGGAGAAAATATTTGCAAATAATGCAACTAACAAGGGCTTAATACAAACAGCTCATACAACTCAACAGAAAAAAACCCAAATAACCCAATTAAAAAATGGGCAGCAGACCTAAATAGACAATTCCTCCAAAGAAGAAATACAAATGGCCAACAGGCACATGAAAAGGTGCTCAACATCGCTAATAATTAAAGAAATATAAATCTAAACTACAATGAGGTATCACTTTGCACTGATTCTGATGGTCAGATGGCCATCACTGAAAAGTCTACAAATGCTGGAGAGGATATGGAGGAAAGGGAATCCTCCTATACTGCTGGTAGGAATGTAAGTTGGTACAGCCACTATGGAAAACAGCATGAAGGTTTCCTCAGAAAACTAAAAATAGAATTATCATATGATCCAGCAGTGGCACTCCTGGGCATATATCCAGACAAAACTCTAATTAAAAAAGATACATGCACCCCATGTTCATAGCAGCACTATTCACAATAGCCAAGACATGGAAACAACCTAATGTCCACTGACAAATGAATGGATAAAGAAGATGTGGTACATATATACAACAGAATACTACTCAGCCATAAAAAAGAATGAAATAATGCCATTTGCAGCAACATGGATGCAACTAGAGATTATCATACTAAGTGAAGTAAGTCAGAAAGAGAAAGACAAATACCACATGATATCTCTTTTACATGGAATCTAAAATATGACACAAATGAACCTATGAAACAGAAACAGACTCATGGACATAGAGAACAACCTTGTGGTTGCCAAGGGGGAGGAGGTTGGGGGGAAGGATGGAGTAGGAGGTTGGGGTTAGCAGAAGTAGGCTATTATACATAAAATGGATAAACAACAAGGTCCTACTGTATAGCACAGAGAACTATATTCAATATCCTATGATAAACCATAATGGAAAATAATATATAAAAAGAATGTATATATGTATAACTGAATCTCTTTGCTGTATAGCAGAAATTAACACAATATTGTAAATCAACTATACTTCAATTTAAATATATATATATATAGACCACATTACTAGTAAAGTTGGAGAAAACATGTTATGTTTAAGGACAGATAAGCTTGCTAATTTTTTACCCCTGAAGTAAACAGATTTAGCTACCCAATGATAAGCAGCACCTTCCTTGCAGTGTGGGCTGCCCCTACAAAATTTATTACATGGAAGAAGGGACTAGGATAAGTGCTCTCTGCAACTGAATAGGCAAAAAGGTATGATATGAGTGATACTCACCTAACTCCTTCTATTAACTCACCAGTGAGATCATTCACTTCTTCCCTGGGGATAAATTAGTGAACATCTCTCCAGAAAAAAATGAAAAGCTAGGGAAGAGAAGGTTCCCCAAACATTAAAAGTATTCAGGGCAGAGTCAAGATGGCAGTGTGGAAAGACGAGGAGTTAGCATCTCCCCACAACTAGGGTGCCTGACGGCCGCTGGTGGTGGACTCTGATGCCAAAGGAGACAGGAGGAACCTGAAAGTGAACCGGTAGGATGTAGGGGGACTGAGGGGGGAGGAGAAGTGGAGGTCAGACAGGATCAGGGCCCCTGAGGCCAGGGAGATCAGGAGAGGCAGGAAGGAGGAGTGGGAGAGAAGCAGAGGGCAATAGCCCTGCCCCTCGGGCCAGGGAACCTGCTGAGCTCCCAGGTCAATCCTCTGCCTTCCAAAGCCCCCTCCAGACAGCATGGGTCCTTGGAGTAGTAGGAGGGAGGCCAGAGAGATCAGGAGAGGCAGGCGGGAGGGGCCATCTGGGAGGAGCGGGAGAGAGGCAGAGGGTGATTGCTCTGCCCACTCAGGCCCCGGGAGCCTGCTGAGCTCCCAGGCCAGTCCCCTGCCCTCCAAAGCCCCCTCCAGGCTGCACAGGTCCTTGGGGGCATAGGAGGGAGGCCGGGGAGATCAGGAGAGGCAGGTGGCAGGGGCCCTCCCAGACAAGAGGAGCAGGACAGGAGAGGAGGGCATTTGCCCCACCCACTTGAGCCCAGGAAGCCTGCTGGGCTCCCAGGTGAGGTCCCCTGACCTCTGAGACCAGGGGTTGGGGGCATGCCTGGGCCCCTTCTGTTCCTTGAGCCTAAGCTCCACCCCCCACGGCCTTTTCCAGCCCTGTGGGTCCTGTGCATTGGCCTGGCCCACCATCCAAACCCCGCCCTTGCTTAGGCCCCACCCTCCAGAGCCAAGGCCTCTCCTGGCACCCCCACTATTTTTGTTCTTTTCCCTCCTCCTCTTTTTTACTACTGTGGTACTGATGTACCTTCTCGTTGTTGATTCATCTATATTTTTACTTTTATATTCTTCCTAAAATATCCCTTAGTTTCCTAGTCTAATTTTATTTTTTACTTTGTTATTTTTTATCTTTTTATTTTTTTTGCTGCCCCAGGAGGTTTGCAGGATCTTGGTTCACGAGCCTGGGGACAGGCTGAAGCTCCTGTGGTGGGAACTCCGAGTCCGAACCACTGGACTAACAGAGAATCTCAGACCCCAGGGAATATTCATCCGAGTGAGGAGGTCTCATGGAGGTCCTCATCTCAGCACCAAGACCCAGCTCTACCCAATAGCCTACAAACTCCAGTGTTGGAAGCCTCAGCCAAACAACCAGTAAGAAAGGAACACAATCCCACTCATAAAAAAAAAAAAAAAAAAAATGAGATGGCAAAAAAATATGTCACAGCTTAAGGAGCAAGGTAAAAACCTACAAGACCAAATAAATGAAGAGGAAATAGGCAATCTACCTAAAAAAGAATTCAGAGTAATGATAGTAAAGATGATCCAGAATCTCGGAAATAGAAAGGAGGTACAGATTGAGAAAATACAAAAAATGTTTAACAAAGATCTAAAAGAACAAACAAACAGAGATGAACAACACAATAACTGAAATGAAAAATACACTAGAAGGAATCAAATAGCAGAATAACTGAGGCAGAAGAACGAATAAGTATGCTGGAGGACAAAAGGGTGGAAATAACTGCTGAGAAGCAGAATAAAGAAAAAAGAATGAAAAGAATTGAAGACAATCCCAGAGGCCTCTGGGACAACACTAAATGAACCAACATTCGGATCATAGGGGTCCCAGAAGTAGAAGAGAAAAAGAAAGGCTCTGAGAAAATATCTGAAGAGATTATAGTTGAAAACTTCCCTAACATGGGAAAGGCAATAGTCACCCAAGCCCAGGAAGCACAGAGAGTCCCATACAGGATAAACTGTAGGAAAAACACACCGAGACACATATTAATCAAACTAACAAAAATTAAATTCAAAGAAAAAATATTAAAAGCAGCAAGGGAAAAACAAAAACTAACATACAAAGAAATCCCCATAAGGTTATCAGCTGATTTTTCAGCAGAAACTCTACAGGCCAGAAGGGAGTGGCAGGATATACTTAAAGTGATGAAAGAGAAAAACCTACAACCAAGATTACTCTACCCAGCAAGGCTCTCACTCAGATTCGATGGAGAAGTCAAAAGCTTTTCAGACAAGCAAAAGCTAAGAGAATTCAGCACCACCAAACCAGCTTTACAACAAATGCTAAAGAAATTTCTCTAGGTGGGAAACACAAGAGAAGAAAAAGACCCACAAAAACAAACCCAAAACAATTAAGAAAATGGTAATAGGAACATACATATCAATCATAACCTTGAACGTAAATGTACTAAATGCCCCAACCAAAAGACAGAGACTGGCTGAATAGATACAAAAACAAGACCCATATACATGCTGTCTAAAAGAGGCCCACTTCAGACCTAGGGACACATACAGGCTGAAAGTGAAGGGATGGAGAAAGATATTCCATGCAAATGGAAATCAAGAAAGCTGGGTAGCAATACTCGTATCAGATAAAATAGAGACTGTTACAAGAGGAAAGGAGGGACGCTACATAATGATCAAAGGATCTATCCAAGAAGAAGATATAACAATTATAAATGTTTATGCTCCAACACAGGAGCACCTCAATACATAAGGCAAATGCTAACAACCCTGAAAGGAGAATTCGACAGTAATACAATAATAGCAGGGGACTTTAACACCCCACTTACACCAATGGACAGATAATCCAAACAGAAAATAAATAAGGAAACACAAGCTTTAAATGATACAATAGACCAGATATATCTAACTGATATTTATAGAACACTCCACCCAAAAGTGGCAGAATATACTTTCTTCTCAAGTACATATGGAACTTCTCCAGAATAGATCACATCTTGGGTCACAAATTAAGCCTTGGAAAATTTAGGAAAACTGAAATCATATCATACACCTTTTCTGACCACAACGCTATGAGATT